GATGGGTGACAGCTGTGATTCTGACCCCAACTCAGGGCCAGGCATGAGGCCAGGGCTGGGGCCAAAACTATAGCAGCCTCCCACCCTCCCTGCCACCTTGTACTCAAATCCAAGACCAGGGGCTTCCCCCCCCATGTTAAATTGGGCCTCATCTGGGATTTAACTAAATATGGTAAGTCACGTTTTTCTACTTGAGCTGTAATGATGGCTGTGAGTGCAGTATAGACAAACCTTAAGCATATGATGTAAACTCAGGCCTCTCAAATCATGCTGCTGCAGGTATCATCCTTGCTGATGTATGTCAGTATGAATTTTGCATTAAGAGACCTTGCATAAATTCACTCTCAGCTCAACTCACATTTCTTATGCCACTAGGGCAACTGAGAGCAAAATGTGGCCCCTGAGGTTTTGCAGAACTAAAAAAAAAAAGAAATCAGACTCAAGTCTAACATACAGCTTAATTCTAATGGGCACATGCCCAATGCCTGCCCCAATATGTTCTAATCAGAATGCATCGGAGAAGACTCGATTAATCAAGTCTGTTGGAGCATGCTCATTAGCACACTCCAGCAGCCTCAACGTTACATGTATTCAGTGTCCCCATGTTTCAAAATGCCAGTGAGAGTGTTTTAACTAAAGCTTGTGGGACAAGCTTTAGTTAAAGTGCTTGCGCTGCTATTTTGATGCACAGGATGCTGAATACACAAGACAGTGTGGGCACTTTAATTAGAGCAGCTCCCCCCACCCCGAGCACATGTAAAGATGGCCACTGTTTTACAGCAATATTTTAACAGAAACAATCTTCCCTAGCGTAGACCAGGCCAAACTAGACTTTACAGAAACAAGGATAGATCAAAGAAAGCCATGCTACTAATTTCAATAATATCCATGTGGGAGGCTCTGCTAATTTGCAATGCTACTTGAACAATTATTACAGTAACTAGGCCTGATCCTGATGTAAGCCTCAAGCTTCTAGTGAAAGAAAGGTTGCTGATGAAAGGATGGCTTTTCCATTATTGCTCCAATTTATTTCAATTCTTTTTATATCAACTTGCAGAAAAAATAAGAGCACAGAGGTCAAAGGCTGAGCCAAGTCCCTTCTGTGTCCCTCACACGTTTCCTCTAAGGCTCAGAAAAATATGTGATGGTTGGTGCATGCATTATTTTTGTCTTTCTGACTAAATGAAACAAAAACAAAACTCTTTACAAATTACATTTTTTTTCTGACGTGCTCTTGATCAGAGAAGGGGGAGGGGGAATGAGGAGGCTGCTGCCTTTTATTTGCCCAATGCTACTTCCAACTTTAATTCATGCATTCTTAAATGAGCGCAGAGCAGTTGCTCCACTAAAGAATTAAGTGGGGAATGAGAGCAAGTAAATTACTGAGCCTGTCATTTGGATCAGTGGTTCGCATCGCTGTTTTGCAGGACTCCACACACTCCAGAATTTTAATGTGAAGCACAATTGATTTGTACTAGTTGACTGTGCAAACCTGAGGGTGGGGGGAAATAGCTAGAGGGGGCTACAGAAAGTGAGAACAGAGTAAACAACATACTAATTTTTTTTTCTCCATTGCCTCCAAGTGCCCTAATGATGCTACCAAATTTCAGAGAAACAGATAAATGTCAGAAGGTGAAATATAAAAGGATTAAATATAAATGTTGTGTGTCACCATGAAATACTCAGAATAGCAAGCAGACTAGATTCATGTGTCCAGTTAGTACGTGACATTAATTGCCAGCTTTACCTGATGTTGTCAGATATCAACATTATTTTATACAAAGATTTGCAGTGGGGCTGTATTAAATAATGTTATGTCAATGCAACAGTTAATACAATTTCTACCTGCATGGTTATAAAATAGCTTGAAGCAATATTAATTAATAGCATCAAGATTACCCAGTTCATGGCACATGCAAAACATAATATACGAAGAGCTCCCACTCCCATTTCTTTATTTTTTTGTAATACAATCCAAAAGATCCTTTATGTTTAAAAAACAGTCAGTCGGCAGTAATACTGTACATCAAGAAGATAACTTTACTTCCAGAGAATTATTTATTTTGCCATCCCAAGTGACACTAAACACAGTGAATTACTAGTGTTACATGGGTTTTTTTCCCCACTCATGTAACCTTGAAACCACCTTGGGACCAAGTTCTGCTCTCAGTTACAGAGATGCCGGTGCCATTAAAGCCAGAAGTGTAACTGAGAAAAGAATTTGGTACCTTATTTAAAGTAAAGCCTACATAATTGTGCATCTACTAGTGGTTTGTTTAGAGCTGGTGCAGGCTTATAGGACCCACTACTTGAATCTCACAGAGGTTCAATTTTGAGGTCACTACTGTAGGTGATGCACAGGGGATTGGGCTGATTCCCAGCTCAGAGAATTTCACTGTAACAGAGGAAATTTACTGTATAATTTTCACAGATGAGGTTTCAGTCCATTATTGCCAACTTTTAGCTTTTATAACATGCCAACTGCTGGCTACACCCAGTTTTCAGGATGTTGATAATAATGAGAAATCTCTCCTATCTAGACATCATAGGAAACATAAAATAATTTAACAAAGCAAGAAGTATTCTTGGAATGAGTCATGGATAGTAATAGCAATAGGAAGAAGAAGAAGAAAGGAAGAAGGGGGAAGAAGACATGAAGAAGAACAAGAAGAAGAACAAGAAGAAGAACAAGAACTCTCAGATGTTAAACTACCTCGCATATCTTTGGTATGAATCTATTAGTCACTTCTTTTATTTTCCCATGTTTGTTGAACACAACTGAGAGGTTAAGATTTTGGATCATTAATATCTCAGAACTTGAAAGTGTTTGGATCCAAGGGGTATATTATACTTTTATAAGCACATCCCACAAATCTCTATGAGATGCTGAACCAAAGTCCCAACTGCTAATACTCTCTCACCTGAAAATGTCAATTCCCTCACTTACAAAGAACCACCACTTCATAAATGGATCCAGCAATAAAATCACTGGGCAAAATTCTGCTCTCAGTTGCAGGAGTATAAATCCAAAGTAATTCTGGCAGCTTTAGCAAAGTTATTATGGAGCTGCACTCATGGGTAGTAACTGAAAATGGGATCAGGTTCATGATGTTCAATTAGCTAAATATTTAAGTGTATACATTTCCCAGTACCAGAAGCACTTTTGAATACTTTAATGAGGCCTCCTAACCATTACCAAGAAAAAAAGCCATTGCTTAGTCTATTCTTCCTTCCAAAGGCACTTGTTTCTTACCTTGTTTAAGCTACGTGCAGCACTATCTTTCCCGCCTGGTGTCAGGTTTCGGAGCTGCACGTCAAGTAAGCCCACCAGCTGGTCCATGGCGCGCACTGAATACGTGATGTCACCAGCATTCAAATGGTTTTTCGTTTGCTCTGCAAGCTCTCTGGCAATGTTGGCAGCTGTTTCCCCTGACTTCAGCTAGGATATAAAAAGGAGAAAATCAAAAAAATATTGTACTGTCCCTAGCTAATTGGTAAAAAGCATGGAAAAGAAACAAGAAAAAGGCCCTGTTATCAATGCTGAGATGTTTGGACAAGCACCATACACATCTCAGACAGGCAGCTTCAATTTTTGTGTGAATGTAAATGTTGTCAATTATCCAGATGTTTCATTTCTGGCTAGGTTTGCAAGTTTGCTCATATATGTTATCCCTTTTCTTCTGAGAGACAGCTGCTTGTCCTCTATTTTGCACAAGTGACACCAGTATCTGCACTGAGGAAAGCAGGAGAATAAAGAGAGATTGGGAAATGTTAATTATTCAATGATTTTTTCCTGCTATAATGAAGAGGTGCTATTATTATTATTATTGTTGTTGTTGCTGTACTTGATGTTGATGTTATTATTATTACAACAATTGCAAAGCCCCACCCCAAGCCAATAATGCTAACACAGCGAACTGTTTCCTAAAACATGGGTTCAAATAGGGAGAACACTAAAAGAGGTCTGCTGACTTATATTCTGTGGGCTTGAAGCGGATTAGACACACCTACCCATGTGAAGACACTAAGTTTAGTCCAGCTATTCCTCATCATCGCCATTAGAAATGAGATCAGAATCAGGTACTATTACTGCACAACACTGGAATCTGTAGGCACATATTCTTTTGTATTGTAAACTGCCAGCAATTATTCCAGTGGATATAAAGACACAGAGGTGAGAAAGTAGATGCAGCTGCCTCAAACACAACTACAAACTGGAATTCCTGTGGGTGGGGCTGGAATTTGTCAGCCATGTGGTAACATCTCAATATCTAGCTTAGCACAAAAAATGTGTAAATATGGCTAGGTCTGCTGTCAAAATAACAGCAGCTCCTGAAACCAGCAAGATTACTAGATGATGAAGAAGTTACATTTCACTCACTAGTCCCTGCAGTAACTAGTGAATCCTTAAAAAAGGAGCAAGATTAAATAATATAACCTAAATTAGTAAGAGGGGAAAAAAGCAATTTCCATAACTTAGATTTAATAACTAAAAGCTGATTTAGCAGTCCAAAGCAATTCTGAAACGATGTACCATTTAGCACACTGGCCACTGTTACTGTAATTGGGAGCCATATTCCACAGTGGGAGAGCTTTATCTCAGTTGCTTTTTTTTTTTTTTTTAAAGCAAGGATTTAACAGCTTAATATGTCTTCTCACTATCAGCATGAAGAAGTATTAAATCAACAGGGAAATGGGGTGAACCTGAAACACAGGAGTAAAGTTTCATGTATTGGTGGAAAAGACCTGGGATGGTTCATAATATATTAATATCACAATGATTCATAGACTAATGGATCAAACTATCACCTAAACTAGGGTTGTCCAACTGGTGGTCCTCAGGCCACATGCAGCCCATGTGGGGTCAAATGGTTGTCCCTCAGCTCTTGCCTGGGGACCACTTTCCTCACTGCTCTAGATGCAATAGCAGCTAATGTCTCCAGGCACACACTCTGTCCTGTGGCTTATGCTTGCTGTCCCCACCCTAGGAGGTGAGCTCAGCACAAGAAGCAGGGAGTGAGGCTGGGGCTATGCAGGCATATGGTTCAGTGGTAGTTGTGGGGTGGTGCCAGCACACAGTGCAACTCAGGGAGCCTGTGGCTTGCCTTTGTACAGTTCCCACTAGTGATGCCCCCATTTGAGTAGTCCTGAGGGTGTTTGACCCTAGGATGCTTAGGGAACAGCTCTGACCTAATACCAAGCCTGAACTGAGAGATTAACTTAACTTTAATTTAGATCTTCTATTTCTTCCTTTGATTTCTTTCCTTTTCCTGTGATGTTCTTCCTTGCTACCCTGTGCCTCTTTTCCTTCTCATGCCTTTAGGGTGAGGGGCTAGCTAGCTCCATAAATCCAACAAGCAGAGAGAGCTACTCCCTTCCCTGGTCCACCCAAAGGTTTTCAGTGATCATGGCACTGAATGAAGTATTCAGCATTCCAGTTTGCTGAATTTAACTCTGTTATATGCCACCATGGGACTGGTTTTGTATATCCAAGGGGAATGTCCCAACGTATGAGAAATGCAAACGGTTAAGGGGAAATTATAGAGAATCAGCTATAAATAATGCTATAAATTCACTAGCGGGTGAAAGAACCAATGTTGTTCTGTTATGTATGCGCAATTTCCTATTAAATTTACCATCCAGTACCTAAAATTGGGTATATCTCTTGCTCCCTCAGTTTTTGGTGATTATTTAAAATGCCAGGTTGCATGGAAACAGAAATAATAGGCAGAGTTTCTATCTTCAAGTAAATCAATTAGCTGGTTTATAAATGAATAACCTACTGCCATCAGTTCAAAAGCAACAACCAGCTGATTTAATGAAACCAAAGTGAAGGTATTCATATACTCATCTTCAGAGAATTAAAGCATATGATGATATAGGTAAGATAAATGACAGAGATAATATGTTGTTCTTCCCTTTAGACCAATAATAACTTATATTCAAGAATTAAATTATTGTAGCCTGGCTGTACATTCATCTAATTCCACTGAGACCATATCCTCTTCTAAACAGCTCCATAAGCTTCTGCCCTGCTGAGAATTCAAAAAGGCTTGAATCCCAATATGAAGTTTGACTTTATGACCTCACCCGCCACCACACGGAGCCTAGCAAAAGATAACAGTTATTCCATACAGCCTTTCTTTTTATAGAACAAATATTCTTAAAACTTTCATTGAAGCTCATAAAATTAGCCTGCCCTTCCATGGGTGTTTTGGGGAGTTGTGTTAGTAGAAGGTACCAGAAATGTAAACGGTTTCTCAGTGGTACATTAGCTTGTTGGAGCTATTGTTACTGAGTGAGCTCAAGGGCTTTATGTGCTACATATTTACATCCTTATGTTTATTGTAAGGTTGTGCCAGTGTTGTGCAGGCTAGAGTGCTCACAGCAAGTTTCCAGGCTGCCATAAAGGCTTGTCCACCAAATATAGGAGTGCTCTTCATAGAAACTGTAAAAAAGTATTTTTTTCAGTTGCAGCCCACCTGCAGAATACATACAGGCCTCCAACCAGGTGGTTTTTCTATAGTGCCTCAGGAGAGAAAATTGCCTGTCTGCAGCTCTGATGCCAGTCCATGAACTGTTTCAGCATCCTAATGAATTCTGCGTGGTTGAATACATGCCAAAAGATAGTAATTTGAAATAGCGCCTATTTAAAAATCTATTAAAAAGGCAAAGTTGTTAACTCCCATGAGGAAGGAAAATTTGCCAACACCCATTTTTCCAGAGTGGTGAAAAACTTGGTAGCAGTCACTCTCCTCAGGCTGGTATTACTTGCTAAAGCTTTTCTCCAGCCATCATCAGTAAACACACCAAACTCTAAAGGTTCCTTCATTCTCCCTACAACACTCCTTGAGACTAAGGGTTGAGGTTCTTCCTGTCATTTTCTCATTGAAGTTGCAGGAGTAGTCCTGGCTGCAAGTCTGAGAAGAAAGGTGATCTGACTTAAGGATATTTGATATGTAGCAGGTGATGGCTAGAAAATTATATTTAGAAATTTGCTTTTAGGAATTGGCTTGTAAATAAAGTAGATATGCATTAGAACAAGGGTCCAGGGGAATGGCATCTAAAAGCCTGTTTGTGACAAAGTCTCCTTCAAGGCAGACACAGTGTCTGAAGCCAAGGGACAAGTGGGCATAAACAGACTGGGCAATTAAAGACATATACCACACAATTCCATAACATTAGATAAGGTGGCATTAAGTTACAGTGACCAGCTGCAGAGCCCTTGGGATTCCCATTTTTGGTGGGTGGACCAAATTAGAAGGCCAGGGCATGCCCAAATGAAGACACCAGTAAATGACCAAATTAAGATGTGCATGTGTGATGGGTTGGAGAAACAAAGGAATATACTGACAGAACAAAACTTGGACAGTATGATGACCCCAGGGAAATCAATCAATGATGCCTGAAGATGAAGAGTCATCAGAGAAGAGAAAGAATACAAAAGGAGGGATTTCAGACCAGCAAAGTGTCATCAAGTGGGGAACCTGAGGCCATCATGGAGAGAGAGCATGCCATCAGCCTGTCTTACCCACCCCACTGGCATGGGGTGAGCCTCAGCCATCAATCCCCAAATGCCTGACATCTGACATTCAAGAATGAACCTCAGGGTGAAGCCCACATACTGGCCAGACGTACCATCCCTCTGTGAACCCTAGGACTGGTAGATATAGAATCAGGTTGGAGGGGTTATTTTGTTTGCCTTGCCTGAATTATTCATATCTGTTATCACTGTTTATCTATAACATTTGCCTATTATCAAATGGAAGAAGTCATGGTCAATCTGAGGGTATCTGGGTCATAAATCCAGTGCCAGTGGCAGGTAAGTTCTCTAAACTTTTCCACTGAAGTTTTGAGGTTCCAAGTCAGTGATCCTCAACAAGCATGCCATAGGACTCTGGGGTGCCTTGAGACCCTTTCAAGGGTGGTGGAGGGTGCCATGCAGTGTTAGCACTTTTAAGTGTGCAAACATGATTCACAAGCTAAACCCAGAGAATTTCAAATGGGAATTCATAGGATTAAAACCATTCTGACCTGTTGTGGTCTTTCTGAGTTCTTTGTACCAGCAGAATTGGTGTACTATTTTTCTGTAGTCAGAAAATGAATGAAAATTAAGAGCTGACATTTTGCGAGCCTTGCCTTGAGTCTAACAAGGGCTGCCTTCAGTCTACAAAGGTGGAAAACCACTGTTCTAAGTGAGATTCCGCTGTAAACAACTCATTTTGCTTCCAATTACTGGCTTGACCACAAGCTGAAGAAATCGGTTCTGTCCCTTGTAACAACTATACTGCTGCTGTTATTTCTGTTTGTTATATGTCAAAAGGAGATGGCATCTTCACATTGAAGAAACAGGACAATGTGTATTTTAAGGATGTTTGTTTGCTTTGTGTGAGCGTGAGTGAGTGGAAAGGGACGGGGGTGGGGTGGGGAGAGGAGGAG